TAACTAACTAACTAACTAACTAACTAACTAACTACTCTCTCTCTCTCTCTCTCTCTCTCTCTCTCTCTCTCTCTCTCTCTCTCTCTCTCTCTCTCAGCTCAACCAGATTGAACTTTTATACAAAAACAAAAAAAAATTAGAACCCCAAAAAACCGTTACCGAATTTTAAGCAGGATAAAGGAATAACAGAGAACAATAAAGAGAACCAGCACAGCTCAACCAAATTGAACTTTTATACAAAAACAAAAAAAAATCAGAACCCCAAAAAATCGTTACTGAATTTTAAGCAGAATAAAGGAATAACAGAGAACAATAAAGAGAACCAGCACTGAACAACGAGCAATCTACAATACAAACATAAAAATTTTAAGGTTCAATCCCTCACAAAAACCAGAAAGGTGCTAACCTAAGAGAGAAGCTTGGCAATGATCCTGAGGTCTTTAGGCTCAATCCAAAAACATTCTCAAAATATATTTTTCGTGCATTGAAAATAAACAAAAATAAGAAACTAAATGCAACTTTCTATGAAAAGAAATACAATCCAAAACCTACTTGATATTTGTCAACAAAATCCCCTTTTGTCAAAGGCCTTGAATGGGTATACAATCTGAGGAGAGCTTAAAATCTATCTCTTATAGACTCCACCTTCTTCTCTAGTTTGCTGATTATATCCTCTTCTCTGCACTTTTTTTCTTGATCAATGGCTTCCCCTTCTTCTCCCGCGCTTTCTCTCTCTCTCGGCCTCCCCTTTTCTCCCTCTCTCTCTGCTTCCCCTTTCTCCAGTGCGCTCTCTCTCTGCTTCCCTTTTCTCCAGCGCTCTCTCTCTCTGCTTCCCCTTTTCTCCAACGCGCTCTCTCTGCTTCCCCTTTTCTCCAGCACGCTCTCTCTCTATTTCCCCTTTTCCCCCGCGCGCTCCCTCTCTACTATGGGAAATGGTTACTCCTTCCTCTCTCTTGTACGAGCTATTTAGATAGGCCTACCGGTTGAGCCCGTGCCCCCCTTTTTGTGACAAACTTAAGTGAATTAATCTCAGCCTTGCATTTTAAATCAATGGTTAAAAACGTGGGGAAGGATAGAACTTCTATACTGTAGGGGAAGCATAGAAAGCTTTCCCTAAAAAAAAAAGGCTATCAAACAAAAATGTTGAAAGAAGGCATGACAATTGGTTTTGAATTCCATGCAACCACATGTAAAGGCATGATAATTGGTTTTGAATTCCATGCAACACCATGTATGTGGTGACCGGTGAAGATATATGAAAGGAATTTGCCATTTCCTCACCATAAAGGACTTCTATAAAGGCTCGAAATAATGAAATAAAGGAAAGAGAACATAGCAAACCAAGTCAAAATAGATACTTTTCTACTAATATCCAGAACAGATAAAGCAGTGCCTTTCATTAGGTTATAATATTAATAGCAAGTGAAAAAAAAAATTTGGAGAAGGAAATACTTTTAAATCCCAAGTGAAATTTTTTTTGGAATAAAGAATTCTTCAATATTACTAGTACATATTAAGCTGAAATTGCAAGTAATCAACACAGTCGTCACGGCTTGAATGGAGTGAAAAAGGATTCCAGTTCTAGAAAAGAGAGAGAGAAACCACAAAATACACAAACAGTTGACAAAGAGGGCGAGAGAAGAGCCGAACATAAAGAAAAGAGAGAATCAAATGTCCATTAAAGCACAAGAAACGCACATCATGAAAAAAAAAGAACTCATTACAGGAACATATGTAAGATTAGAGAGAGAAAGAAAGCGAGACGACATTAACATACTATTTTTACCTCAGAACCACTGAACTTGGAATTTCCAGAAGCCCAATGCTTAGATCTTAGGAAATGGTTTAAATCTAGAAATATAGAATTTAAAGATAGTAATATTCTAGAAGAATGTAAGAACAGAGAGAGAAGAGGTGATTGGTAAATCCAACCTTGCAAATGGGAATATAAACTTTGTGATTGTTTTGCTGACATATGGGAAAATAAACCAATCATGTTTTCTAGCCATAAAATAGCAATATTTTCACCTCTCTCTCTCT